GCATACTTCCTTCCCACTTCCCAGCCCCTCTCCGCTTTGTTCCCATGCTTGTGCAGGCCATCAGCTCTCCGGGCAGCTCCCTGCTCAGTTGTACTGAAGAATGAGAAGTAACCTCACTGGAAAAACAGTCTTTTTTTTTTTTTTTTTCTTCTTTTTTTTCAGTCAGATTGGTTCTATTACATCATTACAGAAATGACTGTATCAGCTGTTTGTATACATGTCATATGTTTCTTTCTATTCTTACAGTTTTATTGAAGCTTCTTTCAAAATCATGCTTGATTTTGAAGACTCACAGACTCCAGAACTTTAGGAAAAAAAATCAGTCCAGAAGCCTTGTTCTTCTGTTTTCACAGTGAATGTGAATCTTGACCCAAACTATTTTTGTTTTTCAAGCTTTAAAATGGGAATACTACACATTCTCCTAGTGCCAAAAAAATAAAGACATTAGGGGTGCAAATATGGAAAGTGCTAAGTAAATGAGAAAAGCTGTCTTTTTTTTTTTTTTTCTTTGCTGTGGAAGGTCAGCACTTTCTGACTGAGACCAGCTGCTACTGGAGGAGATAAGACAGGGGCAACTATTATTTTCTGAAGGAGGTTCAGAAGCAAGGTTGCACTTTTAAGGCAGCTATGGCATAATTGCTTTAATGGGTTCTTTAAGCACTAAAGCCTGCTTCTTTCAAAGGAAAGCCCAGGTTTGATTATATTCACACGATGGATCCACACTTAGCAGAAGATTGTCACTGATTTGAAAGCCCTAATGTGAGCGTGGGCAAGTCTAATTAATAGCCTTGATGGAGATGCTTCCAAATATTCCAAATTACATTAGTTGAGCTGGTTTTGTTCCTTGCAAAAGTACTTGCCTTCCAACACAAGACAATTCATGAGCATTTATTTCATGGTCTGTAATTTTCTGTATTTAGATTTATTTGCACAGCAATTAAAACATAGGCATATGCATGCATTTTTATGGATATGTGAGATCTTAGGAATTAGGAGAATGCCTTAAAATTGCATTTCAGAATGATGTAGCAGTCTGAGCATGCATCTGCATGCAAAAGCACTAAGTTTTAAGATGAACATATACATATATGTCATACTGTGAATGTGAGTATGTACAAATGTGATTAGATACACACTGAGCCTAAGGCACTCCTAAAAAGTATAAGGTCTTTCTTTGGGGGAGCCTGTAAGCCCTGGCAGATGGCAATATTCCCTACTGGGCAATAGGCATTTAAATATATTCTCTCCGTGACTGTGGAGAATACAACACTCAGTAACGTTCAGCAATGTCTAGTGTTCTGCTGTGAGGTCAGTATTCACAGTGGCAGTCAACAGCCACTGCAGGTAGTGGCTTTTCAATAAAAAGGTCATGTTTTTCAATAGCCTCAGTCTGACTGAAAGCCTGAAAGCTTCTTGGAACTTCTTGATCTCTGCAGCATAAAATCAGAACCAAATGGGAAGCAGAGTTTGACAACTAGACACATATTCTCCAAAAATCTCTTCAGTATGCCTACTTCCCTGCTCATTCAGACCTGGGGAGAAATCCCAGCTCTACTAAAGTTTGGGTAAGCTTTTCATTGATTTCAATGGGTTCAAGATTTATCCTTGATATTTTAAGGGTAAAATCTCAAAAGCCCACCTCTCTCTAGGTGCTCTTGGGGTATATTGTTACAGTAATGGAGGCCAGCATTTCCCCTACAGTGCTGAATAAAAGGTGTTCCAGCTGTGTAAGAATTAGACTTTATAATTAGGGATTGTCAGACAGATGGAATCGCAGCCTGCTCTGAACAGGAAGTATTTATTTATTATAGAGCAGAGCCCCAATTACCTATTAGCATGTTTCATAAAACCTGAATTCCAGGTTTATTTTACTCTTTTTAAGCAATTCTGCCTTCGCTATCTGGAACATCAGGCAGTGCAGGTGCCTCCAGGTGGGAATTCCTGGGTGGGATTAATCTCCCCTGGCTTTACACCTCCACAGTCCCAATGTCTAATGCTGATAACCTAGGCTGCCTTCTTCACTATGAACCACAAGAGGAACTTTCTCAGTGTAATTCATCCTGTAGCTTTTAGGTATTTATCTTGTATCCAAGATATAAGGACAAGATAAACTTACATTCTTTGATTAAAGTTAGGTGCCACAAAATTCTGAAAATACATTTAGAGACACAAGAAATACGCAGCAGAATCTTACTCTCCCACAAGCATTTTGGCAGAGTATCTGGTACAAGTCCTTACTTGCTCTGCTCCTGCTTGCACTGGAAGTTCTGATGCTGGATACAGCCAGAGCCACCCAGGTATTCCTATGTGGGTAGAGGAGTATGAATTATTGATTTGCTGTTTCTTTTGGCTCAGCCTGGAACTTCACTTCCCTAGGATAATATCCTGAAAAAATCACTTACTCAAAATGTAAAAAATAACCAATAATCTGGGGTTAGGCAAAGACTACTTTGATTTCAGATTGAGGTGTTTTATATAGATTTTAAATTAAGAGTGTAATGTATTTTATGTACACATGAAGGAATCTCAGAAGAAAAGATAATTTCAAGCAGAAATAGTTTGGAAAGTGAAAAGTTTTGCATTAAAAAAAAAAGCTTTTTTTTTTTTAATACAGCTCAGTGTCTAGATTTTGCTTCTGCTGAGCCCACAAGAACTTCATTCCTATTTATGTCCTAGCAGTTTTCTCACATTAGGTATCAACCTACCTTGCTAATCTGTAGAAGTCAGTCCAGTAAGGAACCCTAGACTATATCTTGGCCCAAACAAAGGACAGTGGAGGACATATGAATATTTTTTCTCCAACATTGTAGTGTCCATAGCATTCAGTGTTGATGTAGGACTCCTAGATACAACCTTTTAGGTAGAAGCAACATTTTACACAAAGTAAACTTTCTATGCAAAAGCTAAAAAAGGCCTTTAAATTGTTAGATAAATAGGACTTAAGAAATGTTTCACTTTTGTGTGTTCTTTATTCACTAGTTTGGTAAAAATACTTGCCATTTTTTTGTACATGGAAACTTTGAATCTCTTGCCTCAGCATGGATGTACAGAAAACATGGATGTATTGAAAATATTTCAGTGACTGACCCATAGCAAAACTGTGGCAAGTGTCCAACATGCACTGACCTTCTTCTTGTTGTTGATCTGAATCTACATGACTCTGGCAAGCCTTACATGAAAAGTTTGCTTTTGTTGTCTTGTTTGGTTTTATTTTTAGCATTTTAAAACATTAAAATTTTTATTTTTTTTTTAAAATGAGGCCCAAATGAGTTGTCTCTGTATCATGGCTTGACGTGAGACACCTCCTGCGCTGGCTCAGAGCTGCTGGCACGACAGCTGGGAGGGAAGGGGCGCTGTGAGAAATGAGCCCATGTCATGCAATCCCTTAATGCATAGAGAAAGTAAGTGAATGACTCAAGAGCCTGGGAGCTCCAGGACATGCTATAGGCTTATGGTATATGTAATACCCCCACAGCATTAACCAGCACTTTCTAGTTTTATTAAGAAGATGAAAGGGTGAACGGCAATTGACCCACTTCAGTAAAACTGCTTTGAATGATGAAGTGCATAGCACATGAAATGAATAGCACAGACTCTACCAGGGCTGATAGCCCTAGAGCTTATGTACCTCACAGGTAAATAGGCCAGCCCTCCTTTAGGAAGGACAGCACCCCTGCATACCTTGACATGGTTTAAATTAATTCTGCACAAAATAAATGTTAGCAACCCCAGGACTTCTGAATCACCGTCCAAACCGGAGTTTTAGTTATCATCTACAAAGTCAGTTTGAAGTTCAGGGGCATGAGTGAGGGCTTTTATTTTCATACATAATTTATAAATACAGAAACAAAACTTAACGCAGGTCAAGCCTTGGATGCTATTTGCCAGTTCTTAAGTAGAAAATAACTGCTGCTATCAGCCCCTTTACTCTCTGTTAATCTTAATTTGTTTGCCCTTTTGCAAGAGGGGAAATTACCCCATTTATTAGTTTACACAGAGCAAGGCTAAGATTAAGACTATGTGTTTACTTTCCCCACCACTGAAATTTTGAAAGACTGCATAAAGAAAAATCCTATAGGATTTTATGCATGCTAGGGAGTTAGGAAAATGCTTTGCTCTACAAATGGGGAACTTGAGCCTAAAGCAAAATCATCCCTTGATCTGCACTTGCAGCCCGGCGGCGGCCGCGAGCTCCCGAGGGTCGGGGAAGCAACACTGGCTGCCTGGGGACGTTATTCCAGCGCCGGGAGCTTTAGGGGGACGGGGGGTGCCCGTGGGGGCCCCTGCAGGGCCCCGCGCGGCGGTCGCGGCGCTCGGAGCCCCGTAGGCCGCGGGGCGGCCGCCGCCGTCGCGGGGAGAGGCGGCCGCCGCGCCGGGGGCGGGGCGGGGGGCGTGCGGGGTGACGCGGGGGCCGCGGCCCGTTCCCATTGGCGGGCGGCGAAGGGTGTAGCTGGAGGGCGCGCGGCGATTGGCTGCGGCGCAGCCGCCTCCGGCGCCGCCCGAACGCCGGACGTGGAGGAGGCAGCTCCGCGCCGCGGGCCCCCAGGTAGGTGAGCGGCGCCCCGGGAGCGGCGCCCCCGTCCCGTCCCGTCCCGTCCCGTCCCGTCCCGTCCCGTCCCGTCCCTGCGCGCCTCGGCTTCCCCGCGTGAGCGCCGCAGTGGGATGCGCTGCTGCTGATTGTAACGCAGCCCCCAGCGTGCTGCTCAGCGGGGTTTCGTTTTTCCCACCTCTTTAGTCGCATTCGGCGGGCGGGCTGCGCGGGGCTCTCCCCAGCTCCGCGCCGGGGATCAGGGCGCGACCTCAGGCCAGCGCTCCTGTAACTGTCCCCGCGGCAAACGGAGCGTGGCCGCTGGGGAGCGGGGCAGCGCCTGGGGCCGGGCCGGCTTGGGAAGCAGGGCGCTGGGTTCAGAGCGTCCCGGTGAGCGCGGCCTGTAACTTGGCTTGGCTTCGCTTCGCTTCCAGAGGCTGCTCCCGTGGGCCCTGCTCGTGGAGCGGAGCGGTGTCGCGAGGTAACCCCGGCTGCTGCCCTGCCCTCACTGCTGCTGGAGGCCGCGCTCCGGGAAGGTAGGAGTGCCCACGCTGGCAGCATCGGGAATGTGGGAGGCTGCCCATGCCCTCCTTAGCTAGTTCCCCTGCTTAAGTAAGGCTGCAGTGAAACAGGACCTCTTAAAGCTTTGTTGGGTAGTTGTTATACAGGACTGAAACATGAGGACCAGTAGGATTTGCCAAACTATTGGGACAGCAGAGACTTGAGTGTTTTCCTTCCTTCCTTCCTTCCTTCCTTCCTTCCTTCCTTCCTTCCTTCCTTCCTTCCTTCCTTCCTTCCTTCCTTCCTTCCTTCCTTCCTTCCTTC